TCCCTCTCTGGTGAGTGGAATGGTCAACCCCCCAGTGACCTGTCTGTTTGCAGTGAGGACAGGGCCTGGAAGGAAGCCTGGGGTTAGAATAGGCCCATGCCCAGTGGTCTGGATGACCACATTTGAAGCAATTATCAGGTGGCTTGCCCCTGGGGGCAACCACTTAGGGGCATGTGAGCCTTGGATGGTATTAGCCAGGAGCTGGTATTTGGCCTGATCTCTTTTGTATCAATTCTTCTCTTCCTCCTCCTCCCTATTGTTAAAAACCTTGAAAGCTGCATTGAGGAGGTCTCTTTGGGTTGTATTTGGACCATCCTCAAGTTTTTTAAATTTTTCAAATGTCAGGGGCTGATTGGGTAATAAAATGAGAGTGTAAGAGGGCCATGCCTGCAGGGGAGTTTGGGTCTATACGTGTGTATTTATGTAAAGCCTCAGAGAGGCGGATTAGGAACTCACTGGGATTTTCGGTGGATCTCTGTGGGATTTCTCTAAGCTTGTCATAATTGACTGACTTGTGAGTAGCCTTCTGGAGGCTGTGAAGTAGGTGTGTGATCATATTATTCCAGAGATCCCAGTCCCCGTGGCTGGCCTGGTAGTCCCAATTTTGGTCCATGTGAAGGATGGCAACAGCTCCCACAGGCCACCTATTATTTTGGGCATGTACCTCATTTGCCTGTTGTTGGGTCATTATCAGACCTGCTCCCTGTGCTTGGGGGACAAAGTAGTAGTGAGAATCACAAAAATATCATGCCAGGTGAGATCATAAGACTGGGTGAGATATCTGAATTCCTTAAGATATGTGTCCAGGTTGGACTGGAAAGATCCCAGTCATTTTTCAATTTGGGAGAGATTGGAAGAGAAAAGGGGATATGGACCGAGACAATTCTCTGTGTCCCAGCCACTTCACGGATGGGATATAAAGGAGCCAGAGCTGAGGTAGGATCATCACCTGATGAAGGAGAAAAAGGAGAGGGGTTGGGTGGCTGAGGACGAAGAGAGGGAAAAGGTGAAGGGGCTGGTAGAGGATCTGGAGCTTAAGGAGGTGGTTGGGGAGCAGAGTGGTCTGGTGGATCAAAAGATTGATCCAAGTCCTAAAGGGGAGGTCAGGCATGAGCTCGGTGAATTTGAGACATAGGACAGTTTTGACAGAGAGAAGGATACAATTGGAGATAGAAGAAGGCTTGAACATAATTAATCTTTCTGGCTTTGTCACTTCAGTGACAAAAGATGTCTAGGTCTCTGAGAGTATCCAAATCTAAAGTGCTATTTTCTGGCCACTGGGATCCATTGTCTAGTTTGTATTTAGACCAAACCTGATTGCAGTAGAAAACGAGGCATTCAGGTTTTAATGTCTGCCTGGAGGCTGAGAGATTGTAGACAGCCCAGAGGCATAGAACGTGGAGGTCTGGATTGTGAGGATCCCATTTAGAGGGTGAGAAAGGAGGTGATTAGTCCCAGTAGAAGAAAGGTGACAGCAAGGAGCATCCTCATTGGTGTGCATCTTCTTTTTGAGAGAGGAGCCACTGACCGGCTAGAGGAGCATCCTCTAATAGCTGGGGGGCATGAGAAGGGTTCCCTCGGCCAGGCGCCTGGTCTTCAGGAAGTAGACAGTAGTCATAGAAAGTAGTCAGGGGAACCCATAGAAGTAGGAGAGACCCCCTGACTCACCCTGAATTGAGACCAATGGTGGATGCATTGGTCTGAAATGGCAAAAGGAGAGAGTCCCAGGCGTCCCTGGTTAGGCAGGTCTGGGAAGGGCAGCCGGGGGCCAATCAACCCAAGACAGGGGATTGTCTGAAGGTCCCAGCCAGGACCCTTCCCAGGTTTCAGCATCAAAATGAAAGAAAGTGAGCCAAAATACCGGGAACCGATCAAGCTTTATTAAAGGGAAAGAATCTGCTGGGCTGCACTCAAAATGGAGAGTAGCAACCGTCATTGGGATGGGAGAGCTTATATGGGCTGTAGGGTGCCAAGGGCTGGCTGAAGCAGTCAAGGAGGGCATTGTGAGGGAGGGGCATTGCACCCATGCGAAAGCAAAAGGGTTTCTATTTCACAGAAGTCATGAAGCTTCTCGTAAAGGAAAGAGGGGAGGGGTCGGTGGCCGTTTTGTGCTTGGCCTTGCCTAAAATGGTGCTGGTTGTGTTCAAGACCTACCAGTAACTAGTCCTCAAGTAAGAGGACTTGTCAGCACTATTTGTCGCACATAGTTCATCCTAAATTCACCTGGTGTTTGAAGGTGACCATCTGTGTTAACTGGTTTTATACAGAGTCAAAATAAACTTCTGCTATCTTTATGAGAGGAGGGACTCCTGTATTTGGAGCAACACACCCCTCATCATCAGGCTTTTCCCTCCCACAGGAACTGGGAATTAGGGGCACTGTCATCCTTCATGTTCATGTTTCAGTGCGATCTCAGGTCTCTGAGAAAGACATTCCTGGGTTATAAAACTGTCCAGTGGATTTTTAAAAAAAAACTCCATCTCGAAGGGGCAGAGAATTTACAATGACAAGTTTTCTAAAGAAAATGCTTTAAGAGAAGGGAGAGGATAGTCTCTTCCCTTATTTTTATTTTTTATTTTTATTTATATATATATATATTTTTAAAAGATGACCGGTAAGGGGATCTTAACCCTCGACTTGGTGTTGTCAGCACCACGCTCAGCCAGTGAGCAAACCGGCCATCCCTATATGGGATCCGAACCCGGGGCCTTGGTGTTATCAGCACCGCACTCTCCCGAGTGAGCCACGGGCCGGCCCCATCTTCCCTTATTTTTAACAGTGAGAATTAAGGTTCTTACTTTAAATTTGTATTGCTCTTACACACCCACATACCTATCACCCAGAATTACCAAACATAAACATTCAGTTACGTTTGCTTAAAGTTTTTTTGGTAAAGACTGGCTTTTGTTTTGTTTTTCTTTTTTTGGTGGCTGGCCAGTCCAGGGATCTGAACCCTTGATCTTGGTGTTACAGGGTGGTGCTGTCTAACCAATTGAGCTAATCTGCCAACCCCTTGAAGTTTTTTTAATAAAAAAAATTCTGAAGTTAATATTCCTTTTGTGTCTTCTCCAACCTCAGTCTCTCTTACTCTCTCCTTCGAAGCCACCACTATCCTAAAGTTGATGTGGTTCTTCCAATTGTGGTGGTGGTCATTGTGATTTGTTTACTTTTACAATTTTGGAATTAGAAAAATCTCTCTCTTTTGTTGCAAAAATTACAAGTGGCACATAACTTCCCTTTTGACCAGCCTAGATTGAAAAGGGAACCATAGATGAAATGCCTTGCAAAGAGGAAGAAATCTCCCTGGATCTAACAGGACTGTGCTTTGTATGTATGTTGTGCCCAAGCTCTTAGCCTGAACAGAAAAGGAAGCTTGAGTCTCCTCAGTGACCCAAAGAAATACAGCCAACTGAGTGATCAAGGTGCAGCAAAGTCCCAAGTTGGTGAAAATTCATCATGCTCTGAGGACTGGGCCTTGGTGCGCCTCTCTGCTGGTTGCTGCGATGTCTTCCCTGCTCTCTTTCCACAAGCCTCTGTCCTTCAGATGCTGAAGTCCCTACCCCTGGGCATGGGATGTGTTGGGGACCTGTAGCCCCACACCCCTTCTTGTGTGACCAGGCCTACATGACAATCTGCTTATGTCAGATGTCTGTGCTTATGGGATATCTGCCTCATAATCTGTGCCTGGGACGCTGTGCTCCTGGCTATGCAAGTCTACTCAAGAGTGACCTCTTATCTCCTTTCTAGTTTCTGCTTTCTTGTAAAGATTGGGGGCTTCTTTGCATCAGAGATTTTCTGACTTTGTTTCTTCTCAAGATCTTATCGTATTCCTGCATTCCTAACTCCTTACAATATGCTTGCTTTTTCCTATATAAGATGTAACCTAAGAATCAATAAACGAGACTTGATCAGATCAGGCAGAAAAAAATGCTAATTCTTTTACACTAAAAAAACCCTTAAGTTATGTAGCAAAAATATTGCCTGCTGAAAGCAATGGCAATAGATAGATTCACTAGAGTTGAAGCAAGTGGGGCAAGAGTGGTTTGCAATAAAGCAAGGTAGCAAAATGTGACTAAAAAATAGATTTTAAATTCTAGTGTTTCCACAGTGAGTGAGTTCTCCCAACATTGCTAACGGTGTCATCTTTAATTAAAAGAAAAAGAGGCAGAACAAGAGTAAAAGAATTGGAAACGATATGCTTCTGGTAGTCATTAGTGCTGTTCACCAAATATATCTGCTTCCCACCCTCCTGGGCACATGGTAGGTTTGTACTTCCTTGATCCCATGAAGATATGGGTAATCATGTGACTTGCTTTGGCCAAAGAAATGAGAGGGAGTGATGTCACTTCCATGTGGAAGTTTTAAAAGCTGGCATAGGATTTATTTTCTGCTTCATGTTTCTGTTTTCTGCTTCAGTGACCACAGAAGTGTGTCATTCTCAATAAATCTGAATTCCTAGAAGTCTATAATGAGCAGTTTCCTGGCAGACCTGTGTGAGTGAGTGATAAACCTTTGTTTTTAAGCTGCTGAGATTTGGGGTTTTTTATTTCAGTATAATCTAGTCCACGGGTCACCAAACTACAACCTGAAGGCCAGTTGCCTGTTGTTGTAAAGTTTTGTTGGAACACAGCCACACACATTTGTTTATGTATTATCTATGTATTATCTATGTATAATCTATGTTTATGTATTATTTATGTATTATCTGTTTTCATGCTACCACTGAATTTAGTTGAAACAGAGATCATATGGCCTATAAGCCTAAAGTATTTACTAGTACCTTTTAAGAAAAAGTTTGCTGACCTCTGACCTAATCTATCCTGACCATGATCAACTGGAGGTCTTTGGTAAATGTTCCTATATGGCTACTTCTATATTTTTTACACAACACAAAAGATGCTTATAG